ACTCTTCTAAAATTTGCAGTTAGCACAGTGCAATTCATACAAGTAAATGTAAATATAGGAAAATCAGCACTTTCAGAAGGTAGAAGTTCTTTGCTTGGAATATGTTTGATATCTGGAGACACCTTGGAGTTTATCAAATAGCTATGAATTGAAATGCTCTTGCAGTTATGGAGTATCAGCCATACTAATAGGATTCAAAATCAATAAGAACATCTGTATTGCAGGTTCAAAATTAGTTGCTGTGTACAGTTCAATTTTTAAGTTTGAACAAACCAGACTGGGTACAAATGAATTTTATGAAATCAGTGGGTGTGACTGTTGGAGAGGTGTTTGGAATAATTATGAATTTATGAATTTGGGTGTTATGAATAATTAAAATTCTAATATTTTAATTAAGATACACATGTGAGTAGCAATCAGTCTAAGTGTAAGTGGATTTTCTTATTTCCCAAAAGCAGTGCTGTATGGCTTTATTTTTTAAATGCAAGTCCCTCTCTCTCATAATATCTATATATTTATATATTTTCATATATGTCTATATAGATATAAAAAGGGGGAACTGAAGATGAAAATCTATTGACTAGACTATTTCTCTCATTTTAGATTCTGCCTAATTGACAGAAGCTTGGTTAGATCTGCTGTTTTTCAGCAGCAGCTGCTCAGTACTTTCCTTGTGTGTTTGCAGGCTTCTGACAGCCTGTAAAGCTTTATGCAGCATGGCAGGGAGTTCCAGTGTGATACAAGTTTTTGCCATCAATTTCAACCTTTTAAATCATAATTTTCACCAATTCTTCTTTAACAAAAAAAAAAACAACCCACTGCTGACCTCTGTTCCATTCTCCTGCACCCGCCATATACTTGGATTGTTCGTAATGCCCTTTCCAGTAGTTGTGAATTCTGCGATCAACTCTTAATTAAATATAGTGAAATATTGTGTCTTCCAAGAACACGGGAGCAGATTTTCATTTATAAAGATGGGAAAAAATAAGAATCTCAAGTCATAAGAAATGAAAAGCGATTCTAGTTGAGCTTCACATCAAGGTTTTCTCTTATACCACGGTGTGCAAATAACAGAAAGTGATGGTGAAGTTTTGAGTTTGCTGCCTCTAGAAGAAAGAAGAAACACTTCCTTTTTTCTGCCTTTACTGGTTTAGTTTACATGTATTTTATTGACTGTGAAAGAAACCTTTTCCTCAAGGGTCACAGACAATCCCAACTGCAAGTTGCACCAAACACTCAACAAAGGCGCGTGCTACCTATCTTCTACTTGGAATATATATTTTAGGAGGCTGAAACGTATCTCAAATCAAGTTCGGTATGCTGTATTTTTTCAAAGAATTTACGTAAGATCTGCTGAGAATGCAAAGAGTGTATTCAGCTATGGCGTACTGCATATTTGATTCCATCCTGCAGGTCACTGCTTTTCTTTTTTCCTTTTTTTTTTTTTTTTTAAAATATGGCAATGTGATTTAAGTGATGTATTCAAGGATATTCCTTTGTCCCTGCAGCTTGTGAAGTTAATGATTCATTGATACTTTAGTAGGGAAGCCATTGTGGGAGATCTTGGGGTAGAGCATTAATCATCTCATGAAGACTAATTCATACTGCTGCTCTGAGCATCAGAATATTTGCTCTTGCTTCCATGACTTTCCTCTGTAAAATGTTGATTACTTAAATGAAGGTCTGTGTTCCAGTATAATATTTTCCATGAATAAACAGGGAGATAGCACATCTATTCATCATGAGATAAAGTGAGCTTCTGAAATTAATTTTTCTCACAGATAGGTGAACAGTTGTATCTCGTATTAATTCCCTATGAAGACAGGACAACAAATAATCCTTAAAACACCTTGTCACAAGGTGTTTCTTCAGTGTGATTTTGTGTGGACCACTCTAACCAAGAAGATTAGCAAATTTAAAAAACTTTATATTTTAGAGAGGATAAAGGCCAAGCTTCTAGGTCAGACAGCTTTCTAATCATATGAGGTTCCATGTGTTAAGGAAATTCAAGCCAGAGAAAACTGTTGTCCATAGCCAGGCCGTTTTATGTGCCTTTCTGGGGAAATAAGGTCACACACAGGCTGCTAGATGTTGTATCAAAGTTTCGATTTGCCTCAGGAGTTTTGTTCTTTCTGTTTATACGGAAGAGAAACTGGCTTCTTTCAAGTGGATGTATGTAAGATTTTTGCTTGGTTGCTCAGCCTATTGCAGTTTTTGAAGTCTCTTGCGCAGCCTAGTCAAAGAGTGTAATTTGGCAAAAAATGACTGTGAATGCTGTCACTTTTCATCACTTCTAGAGCAGTAAAATTTAAAAGATATCTAGTGGAGTATAATAATCTAAGAGAAGTACTTAGTTTTGCTTTTAGGGACACTTACCATGGAATCAGGCTTTTATTTTAATGTTAAAGAATATTATACTTTCCCTTAAGTATTTCCAAATGGCCTGTTGTACTAAAAGAAAAGATTGGAGGGTATTTGTAAGATCCAAATTTTTTATGTCTATTGGAAAGCTAATAACAATGTTATTTTGATGGTATTTGAAAAATGTGCCTGCAACTGTGACTTGTGAGCCTTTGAAAGAAACTTCCATTAAATATTAACTGCTGTTGCAGAGAGATTTTGGAACCTGCAAAAGGTTCCAAAAACCGTTTTTGTTGGTGGTAGCGGTTTTGTTTTGTTTGTTTTTTTTTCTTAAAATGCTACCTAGCACTGGCCTTATATGATGTGCAGCTTAGAAGTGACTTGAAAGTAGATGATGATAATGTCATACCTATAGCTGTTAAATTTATCCACAGCCATTAAAACACTCTAACAAATGGGCACTCCTTTCTGTTTTGCTGTGCTCACGTACTAATAAATAAATCTTAAAAATAAGATTTTCTATTGCGCTGGGGCTTCAATCTTGCATATCCTCAAACAAATTTAAAAAATCTGATTTTGCTCCTAGTGAGGGTAGTGATACTCACTGCTCTTGCTAAGCCCCATGTAGATGTAATTCAAAAAGTAGTAGTGTGGAGCGTTATGTTGTCAAAATAGTTTTCAAGTCTGGTCCTGTCATCCAGCGTCCCTTTCACATTGGCATCACCTGCAGACTTAATAAACATTGTCTCTCTTCCGTCATCAAAGCCTTTTAATGAAATGCTAAATAGTGCTCTACCAGAAGAAAACCCGCTCTTTGTAGATGAAACAAGATGTGAACTAATCTTTTTGAAAGTGACTTTCCAGACAGCTCTGTGCACATCTGATAGTAGTTATATCTAAATTCTGTTTCTCTGGATTGTTTTGCATGGCCTTCTCACAAGGCATGGCAAAAACCTTTCTAAAGTGAAGACAAGGCATCTGTTGCTTCCTTTTTATTTGCAAGACCGGTTACCTAATTTTTGTGGTGATAATCAACCCAGTGCATTCTTGTTGAATCAGTGTCGGCTGTTAATTGTTTCTATATTAGATTCTAGGTGCGTACAAGCAGTTTGATTTTTGGGGGTGGAGGGGAAGGGAGGAGTATTTTTATTGAAACTTAAGTGAGGTTTATAGTTCTGTGGCTGCCTTTTTTTGATGAGGCTATAGGTGGGCACAAATATGATTAAATAGTAAATGTAGCTTGCTGGAAAAAAAAGAACTGAAGCCACTGCATATAGTTTCTTTAACTTGAAAAGGTAAAGAACGAAGAGACTATAGAGACAGTCTGAGAGAAATGGCTCTCCGAAGCACTTTCAGCATGTTAATAGGAACTAACAATAACTTATTTGCTCTGGTGCTTTCTGCAATAAGACAGATACAGCTGCTAGACTTAACTCTGTTGTATCTGATGGTGTCGGATCAGATTTCTTTGTGCTTTCTGGCCTATTCGCCTCTTTTTTCTTTTGGCTATGTTTATAGCCCAGTAAACATGTCTTTTGTTTCATTATATGGTCAGTGGTTTGTAGTACAACTCTGTGATCTGATATATGAGCCTAGGCATATTATTTTGCCTGTGTCTACCTTCTTTTCAGTGTTGATTTTGTCTAGGGTTAGCTAGTCTTTAGCTTTGAGCTTCATGTGGCTTGCAACAAGCGTAGCTCTTGTGCTGGGGCTATAAACAACTCTCACCATTAGCCTGGCAAGAAGACTTGTGGGTGATAAGGAAACGGTGAGCTTCTGAGGGCTTCCAAGACCTCTGCTACTGGGAGCTGCTATATGCCCACCATCCTGCAGTGGGGAGAGCTCCAGGGACTGTTGCCGTTCCTGCCACTGAACCATTCCTGCAGCTGTTTCTCTTTTTACATCTGAGATTTTTTTGGTTCTTTGCTATACAAAGATTGTGGTATGTGACTTGTAAGGTGAGAAGAAGTTGTTCGTCTCTGGCCTGGAGGCTGAAAAGCTTTTCAGTGATGACTCTTGTTATGTTCTTGCAAAATGCTCACTCATTGCTGCAATTTCAGTCTGGTCCCACAGTGTTTCAGATGAGCAGGAGATATGAAATGTTCGCAGATCATAAACTTACATGCTCAGTTGCCATAGCCTAGAATCCTAGATTCCGAAACTTCCTCACCTGGAGGCTTGCTGTGAGACGTTTCACAAGTGACAAATTAAACGTTAAAATAAGCAGAATGGCAGGGATAGGGAGCATGCAACCATCTTACTATGGAATAGGTAAAAAACTGTCACGTGCAAAATTGTATAAAAAGTCAGTAATTTGGCTTTGACTGATTAATGCCTATTATTCTGAAAACAGCCTCAAAACAAGGCATTATTTTGTCAGTATATTTGTGTTAAAATAGGAAAGAAGAGTCTTGGCACAGATCCTGAAGTTTCTCATGCTGTTGAGAAAAGCGATGATCAGAGGAGAATGGGCCTCCAGCAACCCTCCCACCTATTTTTCCTTTCCCAGAATGATAAGGATGAATATTTTTAGTATTCACAAAATCTTTACTGTGTTGGTCATTTGTACTTTGTGGAATAATGTTAACATCTGCTACCATCTGTAACTGCTTAGCAAATTTTCTTACCTTCTTTTTTAGGTGTACGTCCTTGACCCCTGGACCCAGCTGTGATCGGTTTAAGCTACATATACCTTATGCTGGAGAAACACTCAAATGTAAGTTAAAAACTATTGTTATTGCAGCTTGGCCCTTATTTCAGCAGCAGTGTTCTCTGTCAGGTTATTTTTTTCCAGTGTCTAACTGTTTTATGTGCTTTGAGACATGTTTTCTTTAAAGCTTCAGCTCCAAGAACATGCAACCTGTGAGAATATCTAATTTCATTTTCGTAAGATAAGTTTATAGCCTTCCTAAGTATAGTGAAGAATTTGAAAACATGACTCGTGAAGAGCAGATATCACAAGTCCCCCCCTCCTTTTTTAAATAAAATATTATGACTAAGACAATCTCATGTGCTTTTTTTTTAGCCTCACTCATGATTTATATACTCTTTGTGTTGTTTCTTTCTTTATTCCTCCCTCAATGGGAATCTTTATTAAGCGCCAAAAAAAAAGAAGTCAGTCTATCAATTTATTAGGTAACTCTGAACTGTAATTGGTGCAATTTAGCAGATTAGAGAAATGTGACTTTAACTTTTCTGTTTCAGTGTTATAATCAAATCTTCCTTACTCTAGGAAGTAATCTCCTTAATCTGGAGATGCTTGTTTGCCCACTTTTCAATTAGTCAGTGTTTTGGTTCAAAGGATTAGGGTAAAATTTGCTTTTGTATGTTCTTAGGAGGTAGAAAATTATTTTCTAAACATGAGTTGCTGCTTATCTGCATATGAAAAATAGTAAGATTCTGTTGAATTCCATTTAGAACAATAATAAGGTAATCTGTCCTGCCATAGACATTTAGAATTTTGCTTGCGCTTCCAACTTTTTTTTTTTCCTGCAAAAGAGTGTAATTTGGGGATAGCATGGATTTTTATGATAAAGAGTTAATGGAGCATATTAGTTTTTATAATCTATCACTAATTAACATCTATATTATCTCCTGGGTTTATCAGTTTTTGTCCTTTTTTGTCTCTAGCAACTGAAATATGAGAGGAGGTGAATTTCAAATAAAAGAAGTAAAATTGAGAACTTAGCCAATTTAGATTTGGAGCAGTACTAGTGAGACCACATCTAGACTACTGTTTCCAATTCTGAGCTCCTCAGTACAGGAAAGATATGGACATGCTACAGTGAAGGGCCATGAAGATGATCAAGGGACTCGATCATCTCTCATATGAGAAGAGGCTGAGAGAGCTGGGACTGTTCAGTCTGGAGAAGAGGAGGCTCAGGGGATTCGTATCAATGTGTATAAATACCTGGTGGGAGGGAATAAAGAGGATGAAGCCAGACTCTTCTTAGTGATATGCACTGACAGGATGGGAGGAAACGGTCACAAATTGACATACAGCAAATTCCACTTAAACGTAAGAAAATGCTTTTTTACTCTGAGTGATCAAACACTGGAGCAGTTTATCCAGGGAGGTTGTGGAGTCTCCGTCCTTGGAGATATTCAAAAGCCATTTGGACACAGTCCTGGGCAGGGTGTTCTAGTTGACTCTGCTGTGAACAGTGGGGGACTAAACGATCTCCAGATGTGCCTTCCAACCTCAATGGTTTTGTGACTCTGTGAAAGTATGTTGCATGGAGATGTAAGTTCTTAGTGTGTACAGAAATGTTCAACGTTTTTAAAAACTTTTTATTGCTTTAGTAGTATCCATTGAGATTATATCATACGCATGCTGTAGCTCTCCAAGACATTTTAAATATTAATAATGTTGTTGTATTCCTTCTATAGTAGGTTTTCTTCTCATTACAGGGTACACTGGAAGCCCATCTTTATGAATGGAAACTAACACACTCAAACTTCTGTATCATTAAAAATTTTAAAGCTGCCATTTGCCACCTCTAAGGAAAGCTGTCTTTCCTAGAAGTTGGTCTGGAAATTTATTTACGTGTTTGTTGAGAGATCACCTAGGCTCCAATGTCAGGCTCCTAGAAGTGTTTTATCTGTTCTAAAAGTACCAAAACATGTCTCAAGATATTTACTAATAGGTCTTTTCCAAAATACAAAAATCGAATATTAGGTCCTAGCAATTACAAAAATGATAAGGTAGGAAGATGTGGCTATAAATTTACTCAGAACTTTCAATAAGGAATGGCTCTATTGTATAAAGACAGCTACTTGGACAGGTAGAATTTTTGTCCATATTGAAATTTATCAATTTTTTTTTTCTAAGTAGCAGACTCAACCTGTTTTGAAGTCTTGATGTATATTCCAATGTATAGTAGAGGATACTTCAGACTTGTTTCATAGCCACAGTTGAGATGCAATGAAGAAGCTTCATTTAATCACGTTCTTATAGAGAATGCTATCATATTTTCTGTGGGATTATAGTAGCCCTTTCACTTACCAACATAAGGGGCCCTGTTCTTGTATCCTGAGAGCTTTAAGTCTTTTTCTGTTTTTAAGTAGAAGCTAGAAGTATTCCTGGATTCATAAAAGAAAATTAGCAGATTAAAATGCCCATGTGTGAGGACATGGGCATGCAGACTGTAGACTGTTAAATGGCAATAGTCTAGTTGCAGTACCTAGAAATATGTTTACAGAGTACATATTAGACTTCAATATCTAGAAGTCGACTTTTTATGATTCTTTTTTCCAATTCCAATGATTTGAATATTACATGAGGAATTAAAAAGCATGCTAGTGTTCTTCTCCGCCTTCCAAAAGAACAAAAACACCCAGTTTAATCATGCTACGTATTTTATCGTTGCAACCAACTAAATAGTGGATTCAAAAATTGCTCTTTTCCAGAGGTACCTAATAATAGTAGTGAATTCAAGTAATAATTCTTCTCTGTATTTCAGCATTACGTGTTTGGAAATGCTATACATCATTCATTCTTCCTGCATGTGGAATAAGTAGTGATGCCAGCAGATTCAATAAAATTTTAATTATTTTGTGTTGTGTAATGGCGATAAGGGAAGACTGCTGTGGTATGCAACCAGAGATCCATAGATACTCCGTTGTAGGCTGTTGCTAGATATGTTATCTTTCAAGGGCAGAATATTTCTGCAAAGGAAGGTTGCAAAATCTGCCAGAATGAAAAGGGTGGCTGAAAATGTTCAGGATCTCCGGTGTATGGTCTTCACTACATGGAGCCAAATATAGGCTGAAGTGTGTAGTTCCTTTGTGGTTTGCGTTACATCCTCTTTGCAACAGATGAAATCTTTGTATATCATCAATCATAACTGCTGCCACTGTACAAGTACCCTAATGCTAATCCCAGTGTGTTGAAAACTGTTGGTGTACTACTTTAGGGAAGTATAACTGCATAGTCACAGTCCTATTTTCCAAAAGACCAGGAAATTCACTGCTGTTTTTTGAGAAAGGGGAAAACGTACATGCAGGCAACGCAGTAGCTGGCTACCTGTAATGTAAAATAATTGTTTTGTTAGTTTCAGTAACATTGAACATCTGTGAGTTAAGAATGGCTTGTCTGTAAGGTAAATACATTTTCTTGAGGTCCAGTTAGAAATTCGATCATTTTTTTTCAGATGTCTTGTTCACCTTTTGCATTGATTCTGAGCTGCTGTGAAGTTATACTGAACAGTTGCTCAGCTCCAGTCAGGATAAGACCTTGGATGTTGGAGGAAAAATTGGTTCGTCATACTGATTGTTTTCTGTAACATTAAAATGAATTTTAACTCCAGGAAGACTGAATAACCATGACACACTGTTAAGAAGCTAAGGTCTCATAAGAGGTTGAATCCATGTTACAAATACAAAGCTTACTCTCAATGGTAAGCAGGTATGTCTTTTGTTGCTAACTGTACACCATATCTATTGAGTACAGGTCAGTATCCTTTTTGGAGAAGTATTTACCTTTTGTGAGGCAAAGTGTTTTATAATTCTTGTAGGAGTTATTGGTCTTCCTTGCTAAAGCATCAAGGTAAATGTCAAAGCATAAGTTCTCGGCATAAGCAGGGTTGTAAGCCCTAATAGTGTTCTTTGAATGATACTCATAATTAAAATATGCTATTAAAGATCAATTCCTTGATCACTGCGCTTTTCCTCCAGTGAATTTTCATTTTCATTTCTTTTCATTTCATTTCTTGTGGCTAAGGGAGCCTGATTATTTCCCCCCTGCCCTTCACTTTTTTTTTTCTTTTTTTTTTTTTTTTAGAGGCATTGATGCCTCCCTCTCCTTTTGTCCTTGAGTGCTGTCATCTGGAATTTAACGGTGATTAAACAATGTGCTGCCCTTGTGATGCTACTGTTCTTCTCTGTGGCCTCTTGAACTATAGTGTTTTCATCTTCTGTCTGATTTTTCACTGGTTTTTATGTGAGTGGATTACAACTCTGCGTTCTACTGTCACCGCTTTGTTTGGTTTCCTTTATCCTGAAGAATGTTTCTTTTGTCTCATTTGAAGCTTAGCTTTTCTTTTTTTGCTTCTGAGTTTTGTTTCCTGGGGTCTTACTCATTTTTAGTTATGGGCCTTAGAGTGAGAAATCACTGTTTCACTGACCTCCAACTAATTTAAGACTATTCACCATAATATTCTGTATAATATTTCATCTGCTTTTCTGCCTTTGATGGAACTATTTTGATAAGTTCATCTAGTCTTCCTGTGGCTTTCCTCTTTAAGGAAATGGTTAGAAACAAAGAAAATGAAAAATATGTAGGAGTGTATAACCTTCTGGTTGTCCTTTTAAAAGCTGCTTTTCTATATTATTTGCTAATCCCTTTATTGTGCCAGTAAACCCCAATGTTTACCTGTAAACATAATAATGATTTTGCAAATTATTGTAAGATTTAAGATTTGCATAACTGGATTGCTACAATGCATATGTCAGTCTTCTGTGTAACGATAGGTTGTTTTGCACAGGTTGTGGTTGTGTTGAGGTCCTAGTAGGAAGGACTTTTTTGGGTGCTGCAATTGAGATTGCACTTAAGTGATAATACTAAGCCTGTGTGTGGTAAACGCCCCTCGCTCTCTCCCTCGCTCTCTCCCTCGCTCCCTCTCTTTTTTTTTTTTGGAAGGGGGGAGGTCATGCAAAGTACCAAAGATTATTCCTGGCAATATATTTTCTAAAGTTTTACAGCGTCCCACCTTAATT